ACAAGGTGTTTTAATCGAATTCAAGGCGTATTTCAGTGGACATCCACACTTGCAAAAGATCAGCTGGGCAAAGGAACATACCGGTACTTCCTCACAGCACAAGGACAGTCACAACCTGTACCATAAAGTGCAAACAATTTTCAATCCTACTGTCCAACTGACAACACCATGATAACTAACTTACCGCCACATTTTTTCGTAAATTGGATGTTGATGTTTCAAAAGCCGAAAGCTCCGTTTTGTCTGGCAGGCACATGTTGCACTGCATTATCACATTGTTCCCTTTTGTGCATTCGAAAACAAATAATACTTCCGAATAATATGGCCGAGGGTTTTTCTGGCTTTTGTCTCCATAATATGTTTCCTCTTCAGGCCTTTCCTCATCCATACTCCCTAAATTGTGATTAGCAACTGCCATCTTCCGAAGCACAGCACTGGATTATGAGACAATAAAAAGAGTAAATGCAAGGCAGGGCCACATTACATTTTTTCACCATTGATTTTTTTGTTGTTGTTGTTTTTTGTTTTACTCAGTAACGTGAGGGGGTTTTAAATGTAGCAAAGTAAAACTACTTAGGTTAAAATTTACTCGAGTAAAAGTAAAAATTACATATTTCAAAAACTACTCAGAAAATTACAAATTACTCATAAAACGTACTCAATTACAGTAACTTGAGTAAATGTAATTCATTACTTTCCACCCCTGGTCCTCAGCTAGCTCCTATCAAACCTGATGCATTTTAGTACCTTTACAATTATTAATAATGCTCTACCTTATTTTGATCCATCAGGCAGCATGGTGTTTCATTATCGTAATAGAATAGATGAGTATTGCATTAACATCTTAAGTATTAAATATGTATTTTATCTATTTATTAATGTTTCCAAGGCTGCACTTTAAAATATGAAATTGTCTAGAGCTGTTCTAAACAAAATTTCTTTTTGCTTACACTTGTGTATACAAAATGACAAAATAAATCTGTCTAAGTCTAATTAAATATGCACGGTGTATAAATTAGGGACACTCAAAGTTTATCAAACAAGACTGAAAGGAAACTGGGCTGCAGAATTTAATGCATCGCACTTGCCATAGACATCGTTCAAAATATTGCATGAAAGCAGTCGTCTGGGACTCCCATTCAGCACACATAAAAACCGGGATGATGATCTTGATTCTGCATATTGTGCAACTTTTTCCAGTAAAATAAGTTTAAATAGTGAGAAAATTAGAGAAAAAACTGAGAAAAAGAGGTTTGAATACATTTGCAAGGTACTTCATATCTATGCTATTTGTTTGTGGTAGCAGGTGAATAAACCCTAAGAAAAGAGAGCAAATAGTGGTGCAATTAAATATGCATTGATTTTCTGTGAGCAAAGGCTGAGGCTGAAAAGATAAACATGAGGGAGGCCTGGGTAGGGAAGAATTAATACAATCACCAGGGTCACTGCTTTGTGTTCGGCTTTATTGAAAGAAAACATCAACTGTAATCATTTAAAGAAAGTACAACTAAACTGTTAAGAAACATAAAGAATCTAACTGTCCTATGGTGTTCTTTTTCACAATCAATTATTAAGCATGTGATATTTTCTGGGGTGGTAAGAGAAAGATATTCTGTACATCGTGCATATATACATGTGACAAAACAACCCTACCAGCAGCTCTGGTTTCCTCTCATGTAGGTCACACCACCGTTTTTAACCTTGAAGAGGTTCACTTGTGTGAAGCATATATGCACGGACACAAAAGGATATTGATGTCAGCAAAAACACGACCGAACTGCAGGGGATTTTCCTTCACTGGCTCTGGCTGCTGCGTTTAAAACACTCTCGCAGCGTCGCTAAAATATCTTCTAGAAGAGCATTTCTGTTCTCCTTTGACACCTAGACAGGACAAAAAAGACCATAAGCTTAGTCTGAACAAAAGGAAAAAATTATGTTTAACAAATGTCCATCGGGAGATTAGACAGTCCACTCACACTGCAAAAAAATGTAATCGAAAATTATTGTTTTCTTAAAAATATGGGATTTTTTTTTCTTGAATTGAGGAGCTAAGTGAGACGCTTTGGCAATGGAACAAGAAATTTTACATAAAAAAAAATAATTGCATTGTCTTATTTCAAGTGCATATGATTTAATTATTATTTTAGGTGTAAATATACTCATTCCAATGACATATCTTCTTATTTACGCACTTAAATTAAAGATAAATGCACTTAATTTAATTATTTTTTTACTTATTTCCAGATGTTTTTTCTGTGTAATATTCTTAAATGACATCAACTTTCAAAATGTTTTTAGGTGACATGTTAGCACATGCTTAGTTACTATGTTATGATCTTCAAAGGTCTGTTAGAGCACATTGAAGAGCTTGAGCTTTCATTACTCTTTTGGGTTTTTCTGCGTTGATGAAAATAAAGATATCTTTGGCATACAAAGTAATACTATACTACCAAACAAAATACACCAAACTACACGTGTGGTGTGCAGCATAATGATTAGGAGATGCTTTTTCTTTTTTGGAAGAAGCAGGAGAGTTGGTCAAAGTTGATAGGGGGCTGAGGGGACCTAAATACAGGACGAACACCTGAGTGAGTCTAGGATGGAGAGCAAGACCAGAGAAAGACAGAGAAAATGGTCTAGTCAAAGCCCAGCCCTAAATCCAATTGGGATTCTGTTGCCTGTTTATGTTCACAGATGTTATTTCCATCCATTTTCTGTCACGCTTTATCCCAGCCGCGGTCACGAGGGCTGCTGGTGTCTATCTCTAGCTGTCTACGAGCGAGAGGCGGGGTACACCCTGGACAGGTAACCAGTCCATCGAAGGGCAACACAGAGACAAACGGGACAAACAACCCTTCACGCTCACACTCACAGCTAAGGAGAATTTAGAGAAGCCAATTAACCAAACAGTCCTGTTTTGTTTTTTGGACTGTGTAAGGAAGCCGGAGTACCTGGAGAGAACCCACGCATGCACAGGGAGAACATGCAAACTCCAAGCAGAAAGACCCCGCGCCGGGTATCAAACCCAGAACCTTCTTGCTGCAAGGCAGCAGTGCTACTGCGACACTGGGCAGCCCCTACGATGTTTTTATTATCTATTCTAAATTATAATTTCTAATGCAAAAACATAAGAAACCAAAAACCACGTTATTATCTTCTGCTTTACAACTACCCACTACTTCAAGTTGGATTAATCATTATGAAAATCACTGATGTTTGCGTTTTAACATGACAATGTGGCACACTTTAAGAGGTAGGAAGGTCTTTGAGAGGCATCATTCTCCTATAAACTAATCTCGGGTTTTCTGTTCCAACTAAATCCCTCTGCTGCCTCATAGCATTATTTGGTTTAACACAATGTCTATCAAAATACAGTGAGTACTTTGCATGACAATGTCTATAACTGAGTCCTCCATTTCAAATCATTCTGACTGTTTCTGTTTGAGATGCCCCTTTGTTGTTGAATCAGTCATGCATGATGTAGCTTTAATCCTGCTGTTGCTGCTAGGAGAGATAATGCCCGGTTGACCCCTCTGCCCTCCTAACACTAAGGGGATACACTGTAAACACTGTTATTGTGAGACGAAAGTTTAAACCTTGACCCAAATATCTTGTTTCATTTGTGTTTTTAAGCAACAAAGTGCAGCAACAGTTTTACTTACAGTGAAAACCTTGACATCTGGTCTGCTTCGGACCTCCTCGACCAGACCGAGCGGTTTCCCTTTGGGAACTGGGATGGTGCCCAGGATGGTGCAAGATGAGCTGTCTAAAGTCTGCCTCACCGCTCTGATGAAGGACTGACTGAAAAGCTCCATTTTGCCGATCTCATCGATGATGAACACCTTCCTGCTGCCTCCACCTGCTGTTCCTGCCTGCAGATAAAGCATGAAATGAAAAGTCACTGTACATTAATGAAACGTTTACTTTTTTCATCATTTATGGTCATTTGTGATTTGGATCCTCAGACTGTTGGCTTTAAAAATCAAGATGAACAAAAGCAAAAATATACGAATTATAAAAAAAAGGGCTATAGGTACATGGCCCATATAGTACGGGCAAATGTTGTAATGGTTATTAAGGTCAGATACACCTAGATTAATCACAAAAACAAGAAACAAATGAGCTGACTAAAGTTCAGGGAGTAGTGGGGTTGTGCATATAGTCCTCTGCAATGATTTATTGTTTCTAAAACCAGGTTACAGTCTGGAGCCCTCACAAAACTGGTAAAAAAAAAATAGTAAAGACCAGGAAAATTGCAACAAATTCCACTTTCCATCAAAATTTATTAATCACAGTTACCAAAAACTGGTACAACCTAAAAATCTAAAAACTGGGAAACTAAATCCATGCAAAGTAGTCAAACCCTCTGAACCTTTTAACATTTAATTTTACCCTTTAATTAATTTGATTGAATGTTTAAGGGATAGAATAACAGAGTGCAGGCTTGTTCTTAAATAATTAAATAAAAACCTATAGAGTTCCACATGAATGTTTATTCAACCCCCACAATAATTTTTAGAACCGCATTTTAATGCAATATTAGCTAAAGATGGAGGGTCTCCATAAACAGGCTCTTTTTAATGTCTTGACAAAGTTTCTCAATAAGATTTTGGGTCTTGACTAGAACTGAAACACATAGATATGACTTGATAGAAAGCATTTTATCGTAGCTTTAGCATCATTAAAGTGGAACTCTATAGAGAAAATTTTGTTTCAAAATAGATTAGTGGCTTTAATAATGGATTTGTAACCAAATATAAATATGATGAAATTAAGAATACAAAATGAAAATACACACAAAAATCTGATATTTCCGAATTCAAAAACGTTACCTATCCGTTCAAACTAGTTATGTACACAAATCCCACATACAATGTTTTTTGAGACACATTACACGCTTTCAGAGAGTTACCAGTTTTGTGTGAACATGGTGCGTTTAAATGCTGGTGAAAAGCTGGGTCATCTCAGTTGGTTCTACTTTTTATTATTCTATGGTTGCTGCTTTACATCCATTTTTGATCTGTCCAAATATGCGAGGAGTATGTAGGGAGGGAGAGAAGGCAGGTTTTTGGGTTGTTTTATATATTATGTTATTACGTATATTATAGCAAAGTCATTTTAATCTAATTTTAAGTCTTTTTCATATATTTACACTTTTTGTCAAAATTTAGTACATTTTTCTTCAATAGCTTTCAGGTCGTGTGGTTTTGAGTCAGTGGATCTCATAACTTGGAAGCCATTAAATAAAAATACTACTTTTTTAATCTTAAAAATCATTAGAAATATGAAAAACACTTTTCCTAATTTACGTAATGTAGTAGCACAATTCACAACTGGTTTTGTTAAAGTTGGTCACAACTTAGTGTTAAACAATCATAAATAGGTTCCTTGTCACAGACAAGGAACCTATTTATGATTGTTTGGTTTAGAAATGTATTGACAGTCCTTAACTGAACCACCGCTCCTGATAAGAGCGGCAACAGAAATCAGCCGGCCGAAGTCTGAGATCCTGAACCGCAACAACCATGAGATAGGTGCAGCTAACTCCGCAGAGCTTGAATATCTAAAATCCAACTAATTTCATCACGGTCGCCCACAACAGTCTCCTTCTCTTCTTCGAGCCTCTCAGTTTGAATGCCTGTTTTGGTGGCCACCTAGTTGCAGTTTCTTTTAACCCAGTAATTGTCTTCGTACAGCTCGCAAATTCTTGTAAATAAACAACCATAGTACACCGACAAGAAGATGTAGTTGTATGTCTTTTAATTAAGGATGCCTGAGGTATCCCATTTTCCACGGAAAATCATCTTTGACATTTCAGCACAAGTATAGACTGAATAAAGTTCAGCGATAAACAAAAAAAAAAAACAAATGCTAGACTCTAAACAGAAATCAGATGACCCAGCTTTTCACCAGCATTTAAACGCACCATGCACTCCCGAATCTCTGAAAGTGTGAAATGTGTTTCAAAAAACTTTGTGTATTTGTAATCAAATTTGTGTGCAACTCATTTTGTTTGTATGTTTCATGTTATTTCAGTAGATAATTTTTATGTTTTTTAATTCATAGGAACCTTTTCAAATTATATCGATACATATTGAATAATATCAGATTTGTGTGTTTTTTATTTAGTATTTTCGTGTTATTCACAGATTTACAGAAAAACAAAATTCTCTCCATAGGACTCTCTCACTGTTCTCAGAGACTGCTTGCTCTTCAGCATCATATATCCTTCCTTAAACCATGACCTGCATTCTAAGCATAACCCCCGCACTATGTTTCAAGGTGACTCTGGTTTAAAGTTTTTATAATGTTTCTAAAGTGTTCAATTCTGACCTTATGTCGCAAGTTTGCTTTGTCAGCAACATGACTAGCGTAAAAGCTGCTTTCCTATAGCCATTCTTTCAAACAGGCTTTATCCCTGATCTATTCAACAAAGCCAAGGACTATTAATGCACGACTATATACACTTATACAGTGTTACCGCTGAACTCTTGGCTCCTTCTTTGATTATTTCTTCATGGATAGACATGTCCTTGTAGTTTTTTGCCACTCTTTGTTTTCTAACATGTAATGTTAGAAGCTTGGAATATTGTTTTATGACCTAGCAATGCTTTAAACTTCCCTACAACCTCTTCTTAAACTGTCGCTGTGTTTTGTGTTTTATAACAGACCTCCTAAGCCTTCAAATCTGCAATTATGGTAAGATTAAACTACTGCTGGATAATTATGTACTAACCAAGAAAATCCTTTTTTTTTCATTTATGTCATAAGATGTGTATCACATCTTTCAGTATTTTTTTTAAATAAAACATTTTGCAAAGCTGGTATAGTTTTACTATCACTCCACAATATGCCCCACTGCAATGGTCTCTTGCATAAGAGCGCTTAATGGACGGTGTTTGTGTGTTAAATGTTAAATATTCCAATAGTGAAACTTCAAATGTTTCATTTAAAATATATATATCTTAGGGATGTTCATATGAGTTTCTCATGTTTGCATAAAGTGACTGCATAGAGAGCACAAAGCAGATGAAAGTGAGCCAAGAGACGCCATGCCACAGACACCTTCCATGTGTAGGCGTGACTTCAGGCTCACTTTACATGCAGGATTAATCACGGTCAGTGACAGCCAGACGGCACCAGCAACACTAAAAATGTCACTGTGGAATTTATGTGCTTGCTAGCTTCCAATTATTCCATCAGTTTTGAAGGAAATCAAAGGTTTAATGAATTATAAGTGATGGAAGTAGGAGGGTCTAATTTAAAGGATGAGTTTAAAAGGCATGAGCTGCAGTCTTACATGTCTGAAGAGGGGAAGGGCCAGGTTTTCAAATGAAGGCAAGTCAACCACATACTGTCCCACCATGTATTCCCGTCTGCCGTGAGAGGTTCCAGGACCTTCTCTGCAAGATAAAATGCAGCGTGGGCGAGTCAAAACTAGGGGATGAAAGAAGGCAGGTAGCTTGATATGGATGCTGTGGGCGAGACCTTCACCTGATTCTGGACAGGTGGCCCCTCTCTCCTGCAAGTGTGACAACATCAAAGCCGACCCTTCTGCCTCCTTCCCTGACCTCTTCTGTGTAAAATCCTTCTACTCCCACTCCTGATGACACTAAAGCTTCACAGACTTTTTGGACCAGAGTGGTTTTCCCAACACCTGTAAGGAAACAACAGACAATTTAAAAATAATGAGAGTATTCTACAAGAGGTGCATGGTCATACAGTGCCTTTAATTTTTCTACATTTTGTACTGTCCCAATTACAATCTGGAATATAATTAGGGCTGAAACAATTAATCGGATTAATCTTGATAAAGACTTAGATTTTATTTTCATTTTTTACACACAGAGTGTACCGTATATAAAAAGAAATTTTGTTCAGTACAGCTCTCAAGACATTTCCATTTTTTAAGGGCAGCAGTGATCAAATGTAAAAAATAAGACTGTATATGATGTACAGTTTCCAAAATTCAGTGTTTTTTTTTATTTTTATTATTTTATTTTTTTTTTAGGGACACATTTTGGTTAAAATACAGGAAATTGCAGGAAACTGCATCTAAAAAATACAAAATTAATCCATTAAATGGACCATATAGTGATGCTTTAAAGTATAATATTCTCATCTGAAATGATCTTAAAACGTACTTTTATTGAACAACAGCAACAGAAAAGTTTTCTCTTTCGATGGAGCGCTCCATTGGAAGCTGCTGCGTCCACAGTGCATGCTGTTCAATAGTTGTTGCCACCTTCCTTGTTGTGCTTTCTCCAGCATTGCGCAGCTTTGTCGTCACGCTCTCAAAACACATCTCTGCATTGTGATTGGCCAGCCAGTTCTAGGGCCTGGGGCATTGATCGAGGCTAGACCAATAGCGCAGGAAAAACCTATTTCGGCCGCTGGTGGCTGGGGCTAGTTTACTAGGCTATGATTTTATATAAAATTGCAAAGTCAGATCTACTGAATTGTAAAACTGGACTAAAATTATGAGATTAAAAAACTATTTTTATTTCAAACAAAAATATGCCAAATAAAATCCATGAACAACTGGCGTAAAAAGGCACATAATTAATACATTTTTACATTATAGGGGAAGGAAAAGAAATGAAACATTTAAAACATTTGGCGACATACTAAGTTGTGTAATTAGTAAGTAGTTGTGTAAATATAACAACCGTGTTTAATTGCTTTTAATTTCAAAATGATGCGCTACATAAAATAATCCCCTTAAAAATGTTTGTTGTTGTGAAGAAACAACATATGAATAATCTCTCTAGTGAGATAAATGTTTTGCAATAGATATTGAAAAAAGACAGTTGTTATGAGTTAT